TCATCTCAGTGGTGGCCTTAATTTGTGCAGGCACCTGAGGAACCTAGGCTCTAGACAGATGTCCAAACAATCCCATCTCCCAACTTGTGTTCAAACTTTAGTGTGGATGTAGAATTCAACAGAAATAAAGTACTGACCACCCTGGTGCTTCCTTCTCCATAAGCACGTGCATTTGATGCATTCACACAGCCAGAAGAGTTGCTCTGTATGCTGATTAGAAAACACTCTGTCGTTCATATTTGATACACACACACCAAGGAAAGCAGCTCTTCAACTCTTTTTTTTTTTCTCTTCAACTCTTTAAGCAACCATCTAACTTCATAAAGCTTTACTTGTTTTTTGACTCTGGTTCTTTACGAGATATTAGACATGCAGAGCTGCTTGGCAGACCTACAAGGAGACCTAGCTGTGAAGATTTCTAGTCCCATTACGAAAGGTCAGCACTTCTAACCAAGCTTTTGTTTAGGCTATCAAACACTCTTGGTCACTGCACCAAAAGGGAGAGCTGTGATGAGCGTAAATCTTGGGTGCCCTGATTTTAAAATATTTATTTGCCATATTCATTGCGTGTGCATAGGTGTGCATGTGTGTGGAAGTATTTGCCATATTCATTGCGTGTGCATAGGTGTGCATGTGTGTGGAAGTCTTTCCTTACCTTCCACCAATGTTGGTCCTGGGAACCAAACTCAGGCCTGCAGGGAAGATGGCCAGTGCCTTTGCCCACTGAACCATCTAGCCAGCACAGGGCATTGTGGTCTCATTTTAAACAAGTATGTCTTGAGCTGTACAATCCCACAGTAGAGAAATCTATAATCTGGATGGGACTGAAAGGCCACAGGCTTGTTGGGGATCATTACCGTTTGGGAAATGTGATGGAGAGCTAATGGGGTAAAAACTGAGGCCTGAGTGGATCCTGGCTCATTACAGACACACCAGGCATGCAAGATGGAGTCAGAGATCAGCAGCAGTCACCCATCTTCTTAACCTGTCCCCTTGAAAAACACTGAAATATATGTGATCCACCTGTTCCACGTATTGGGACAACAGGATAAAAATAATCACACAATCGAATAAAAGAGTCCATCAGTCTAGTATTGAACTCTTAGGAATACTCACTATAGGGGGTTCGATATATAAAATTTTATATGTTTCAAAATTAGTCAGGTAGCATGTACTGATACACAGAGCAAGTGTCCCTCACATTGAAAAATAATTCTGCATCTTATCCTGCATTATTTGCATGTGTGGTCTGTGCATGTAGGCATGATATGTTTCCACTCTCCACAATATTCGTTAAGGCAGGACCTCTCACTTGACTCCACAGCTCGCCAGTATGGCTAGTCCTGTCTACCCTCTTGCTATAAAGAGCCTCTGTCTCCATCATCAGAGCTCTGGAATTACAAACAGGCAGACACAGCCACCCAGCATTGATCTGAGTTCTGAGTATCAAAACTCCAGGCTTCGTGGTTGCATGAAAAACAGTTTTTCCACTGGGCCATTGCCTTAACCCTCTATCTCATTTATAAATGGCATCTCTATTAATGGCTTTGTGTTTGTTTCTGCATACATTAGTCATTTGATAAAACTGAAGAATATGTCCATTACTATAATGAAGATAAGGAAATTTTAAGACCATAAGGTTTCATTTTAAAAAAAAAAATTAAATCCTTGGGTTTGTTTTCAGGAGCAAATCTAATCTTCATGTACATTCCACACTAGTCTCTGCAGAGGGGGCATCTGGTTTCAATAAGTGCCCCAAACCCTGTTCAGAAGGATAACGGAGTGTGTCATTTGCTCTACCAAGGGTCATGACCAATTTATTGAGTATTTATGACTGGACCTCCATAGGACTCAATCTTATGTATAAAACCAGCATTGAACTAGGGTTGAAGTTCATGAGCGTGGCCAGGCCATCTAGATGATGACAAACCATGGTTCATAATGAAACCATGCAATCCTCACCAGTCCTTACAGGGCGGAGAGCCCAGGAGGCCCACTAGAGAATATAGGTAAATCTTCACACCAATACCAAGAGGCAAGTTGTTGCGGCACACAAGAAAATCACTTAGCAAATTTCCAAAGAGTAGGGTCATCCTTCCTCGTATTCTGGGAGAAATCTTATGAAAGCAGTACCATTTTGAAAAAAGAGAATGCTATTTTAAGATGCTCTGAGGTGCTTGCCTTGAGTTGGGTTTATTTCTTCCTAGAATCCTTAAACCGTAGACTATGGTCCTCGATGTCCTGCTGACTCTTCAGTGAGGAAGACAGAGAACTTTCTGGAATGCTGGGTTTACTCCTGCCACAGACAATCAGGATTTGTGGCGTTGAACTTATATGAAAAATAAGGAGCCCCAGGAATATTTTGAAGCAAAATAAACAGGGACTTTCAGCCATTTTAGCCAGAACTGGGGTGGGAGTGGAAGTTATGCTGGAGATGTTATGGGAGAGGCCCAGTCCCTCCAGACTCAATGTGTCTGAGATCAACCCATCCTCTCTAGCTTACCACCTTTTCCCAATGCATCATTTCGTAATTGGTGACTTGTACTTATTTGATTCTGTTAATACAACAAATACCAAAGGCAGGTTAGATTTATGAGGAAACTACATTGCTTTAAGTCAGTGTTGAAGATCAAAGCTGCAAAAAGCATAATGAGAACACTCTGGAGAGGGCCATGACAGATGGTGGAAATGTGGTGGAGAGGTCACCTCTTAGACTGGGAAGCCAGTTAGAGACCGAGACCCCCATGTGTCTTCCAAGGCCCATCCCCAGTTGTCCTGAGGCCCTCTACTAAACCACACCTCTTAAAGGCTCCACCACCACAGTAAGGCCCAAGTCTCCAATGTATGAACACATTTAAACCATTTTATAGTCAACTGTATCCCCTATCTCCTGAGTCACAATGGGCTCACCCTTCCCTTTGGCCATTGCCGCTTCACATCGGAAGCCATTTCTGACAGGTGTCCTTCCTATCTCAGTTTCTTTCTTCTCTCACATCCCATAGCTGCCCCAACCCCCAGATCAGGCCATGTCATGTCTCTCTCATCAACACATTCCCCTACCCATCCTTCCTGCTGGAGAACTGCACATGGCCTCCATACTCTCTGGCCTGCTCACCTGGTATGTGTGCCAAGACAGTGAGTGAGAGCAGCCTTGAGATAAACAGAAACAGATGACCCCTGGGGTCATCTCAGCCTGCTGCACAATCCTTGCCTATGTGGGTCTTGAAGTGAGAAAACCAAGATGTTTAGATAAGCTAGAGGGTCGTCCGTGTGTCTTCCAGGAAAACAGAGGCTAAGTGCCAGACTAAGTCCAACTCAAGCTGCAGAGAGTGGCTGCCTCTACAGGCTCACCCCAGTGTGCCAACTCTTTGGGAGGGGTGGTGGGACAGATTAATGTCTCTAGACAGGCTCATGGAGATGTGGACAAAAACAAGTCACAAGGTAATATTCGAACAAAGTAATCAGAAGAGGAAGGTGCTTCCCCCCCCCCCCATAAAAAGAGAGTCATTAATGTCTGGAAGAATGCTGGCAACAGTAGCCAGTACTGGGCACAATGGAGAGCAGGATGTTTAGGGTTTGAGTGGGCATGAGGGCTGGCCTTTCTGACCTGAATTTGTGGACTGTGGCATTTCAAATTCAGGGTGGATATTTATAGGCAGATGTTAGCAGAGATTCTGACGTTCATGCCTGGGACTCAGGAGACAACAGAATGGAAAGGATAATTATTAATGAAAACAAACAAAAAAGATGACACCAGCAACTGGCCCTCCCAAGGAGGCTGGGGACAGGCCCTTGGGAAGGTTCTAAAGTTCTGCATTGTGAGGTGAAGATTGAGGAATGGTGGTCAGAGGTGCAGAGGCAGCTGGGAGGCCGCAGAGGTGGGGCAGAAAAATACCAATAGCATCAGATGTTGTCAGGGCTGGAGCAGGTGAGGACCAGGAAGATACCAGAGAATACGGCAGCTGGGCTGGAGTGAACTCCAGGATGATGCTTCCGTACTCGAGAGCACAGACGCCGTGTTGGACAGTTCAGAGTTGACAAGAAATGCATGGCAAGGCAGATGAAACAGACAAAGGATTTGCTAGGGAATTCTCATGGGGAATTAAGAAGAATGGGGGAAGGCAGGGAGGGTGTGTGTGCAGGGACCATGGTGCAGACCTGAGACCTAGAAGGACTGAAGGTAGGAAGAAGCATAGACTCCAGTGCTTTGCTCAGGAAGCCACAGCCAGGTAACAGGACATCATGGAAAAGGAGGTAGCTGGAAAGAAAAAGCCACCAGAGAGGCCTTACCTTGCCTGTGATGATAGGGGATCCCAGAGGAAAGGAAGCTTCCACAGGTGGGGGTATAAGTGGAGGCTAGCATCAGGCACCCTTTTTCCCCAAAGCCAGTGCTCTTGAAGGAGAGCAGGTGTGTTGCCATGGCACCGTGGAAGCCAATGGAAGTAGAGTCAACTCAGATGTTCTGATCTTCACCCCAGCATGGTCAAGACAGAGGAGACTAAGGAGATGGCCAGGGTGGTGAGAAGGTTGGGCCCATGCTCTCTTTACCTCAGTTCATCACAAACAGCTTTCCAAGGTCACATGGCTTCATGGATCATCAAAAGGAGAGCGTTGTCCATTCCCTCGGTATCCCTGGCTCTTTCCTCCAGCCCCATGAACCCCACACTTCTAATCCCATGGGGCTCGCTCTCACTGTTCATGGCAGCAGAAGTGTTGTCTCCAGTATACACAGATACTGGGAAGGGTGTCGGGACTTGTTAGCTCCATGCCTCAGGCTCTCAATCTGCAGAACTACAGTTAGTGTTCTGTGGCCCATGGGAGAGAAGTGTGAAAAACATCTGCTTGCCTCTCTGCAGCTCACTCCAATGAGGTGTCTTAAGAAGTGTCCCCTGACACAGTGATAACCCTTTCTCTCGAGCAAAGTTCCCACTTCTTTCCTGAGGTGTTCTGCCCAGAGAAGCAAATGAGGGCACCGACTAACTCTCTGTGTTTGTTCCCAGGTGACCTCATCCACCTGCCTCCATACCTTCGAATGGACTTCTTGTTAAACCGGGGGGCACCAGGCACCAGCAGGGACCTGAGTTTAGGACAAGCGTGCTTGGAACCCCAGAAAAGTCGGACCCTGAAGCGCCCCACGGTCCTTGAGCCCACCCCTATGGAGGCTTCCTCCTCCACCTCTTCCACAAGAGAAGGACAGCAGTCGTGGCAACAAGGGGCCGTGGCCACCTTACCTCAGCGAGAGGGCGCAGAGCTGGGACAGGCAGCTAAAATGAGCAGCTCCCAGGAATCACTGCTGGACTCTCGAGGCCATTTAAAAGGAAACAATCCCTACGCAAAATCTTACACCCTGGTATAACACACGGCGTGGCTGGACAGCGGTTGTAAATACAATTTAAACGATCCAATCAAAGCTACCTTTTTTTTACGGAATTCCAATATTTATAATTAAAGAAAATTGCCAAAATATATTAAAAAAAAAAAGAAAGAAAATACTGAAACCACAGACAGTGCAAAGACTACTCTGCTTTTCTTCCGTCTGAGTGTGGGCTCCATCTGCCTGGGCATCTGATTTTTGGGGAAAGAAGTCCAGTTTTATGATTTTCACAGGCTATAGCATTTTTACTGATTTTCTACAAAGTGCATGGGGACTCGTTAAACCTTCTGAACAGAAGTTCTAGCACACAGGAGTCAAGAAAGGAAATGGGGGGAAATTAGCCTATTTGTGAATCGAAGAGGAACGTTGCTCTGGGGGCAGGGGAAGCTTCCGTCACCTGTGCACACCTTTCCTTCCCACTAGGAACCAGGTCCTCGGTTTGATTTTCTGTTGTGAATTAGGATGAGTGCTGTCAGTGAGGGGGTGGGGGGAAACCCATTCGGTCTTCTTTTCTGTTTATTTTTTAATTTGATGAGACACTCTTTGCATTTTGTCTAAATGAAATAAAAGAGAAAAGGTGGTCTGCCTTTATTTGCATGTCTACTGATACCTCCTATCCATGGCTCGGGCCTCCTTCCTGCTCATACTGTTTGTGAACAAAATGACTGGACCCAGTGCCCAATCTAGGAAAACGGATGCAAAAGCTCTGAGCAGAAGACATGGCGTCAGCTCTGCAGCTGGAAAACAAATGAAAGGCAGCCTGGTCTCCATCCAGTATTCTAAGCCCCTCGCAGGACTCAGGTCCTTGTCCCGTGCAGGGCCTGCTGCCAAACTCATCAGGGTCAGCAGACCATCTCCAAATCCAGCGCACTGCTCTTTGTCAATAAAGTTTTATTGGAAGAAGTCCAAGGGCCCTTCACTCCATTTGCATTATCTGTGGTTGCTTTTGTACTGTGATGTCAAGTTGAGTAACAATATGGCTATGGCACACTAAGCCCAGAGTATTCTCTGGCTCTTCACAAGAGATGCTTGCTCACCCCTTAAGTTCCTCATTTTAGCCCTGACTTGTGAGAGAAAAAAGTGATGTTGTGTCTCACCTCCCTTTCCCTGCCCTGTCCCCACTGTGACTGACAGGTTCACGGTAGACCGTCTTCAGATGTGACTCCTCCAACCCTCTCCTTGGCACCCACAGGAATATCAGCCCCTATATGGTGTTCCTCCAAATTCTGTATTTCTTTTCCTTTCTCTCTGTCCAAATGCCTTGTCATAGGGCTTACGCAAACAGAGAGCCTACTCACAAATGGGAGGTACCATACCCCACATCCCTTGACTCTTACACAGTGTGCCTTAGAAGAGCCTGCCATTCTCTGAGGCAGCCAAACCCCATTTCAGATGCCACCCTAACAGGCAAGGAGAACCAGGTCTTCACATTAGAATTTTGGCATTGACTGGAAAAAAAAAAAAACTGACCCCACGTCCACAGCTTCCAACTTCCCAGTAATGCCTCACACAAGTTCCTTCTCAGACCTTCTTAATGCGACCCCATGGAATCCATCAGCAAAAGCTGGTGTGGTGATTGCTATCTGGAACTAGACTACAACACTCCCTTTCCCCTCCCTCTCTCTCTTCTTCATCCCTTTCCACCCTTCCCTTCTTCCATCTCTTCCAGGCAGACTTTGTGCCTCCTGGGCTTCAGACACACAGAGCACAGGCAGAGCAGGTACCAGACTCCATCACAGCCATACAACAGCTCCGACACTAGGGCCTCTGTGGATGGGAGCGACGTGCTGCTCGCCATGGTTTCAGAGCACAGTTTATCCTTGACATCCTCGCAGATGTGGAAGGATCGAGATGCTACTTTCTAGAGAAAGAAAGACGGACCCTAGCATCAATAAGTTTAAAAGGTTGTAGAGTTCCCACCCTTGGAAGTGTATTAAGTTTTTTTTTTTCTCCCAAGATGTAAAATAAAAGATTCGACAATGTCTGCCTCTGCGGTGGGCTGCTTGCAAGATTCCTGCCTTGGAAACGCTTGTTAAAATGAATTCCACATGCAAGCACTGTATCAAAAATGTGTCCCCCTGCCTCAAATAGGGGCCTGATACTGTCTACAAAGGGGTGTAGAGCTGTGAATTAAAAGACCATTATGACAGCAATAACAGTGAGTTTGCCTCTGTATCCTCCTGTCTCTATCTTGTTTGTGTGGGGAGGTCATTGGACTATCCATGTCCTCACCAGGTCTATGGGAATTTCACTAAAGTTTCACACTGGAAAGTTTTGTTTTCTGTTGCTAAGGAATTTGACCTAGGGATTAACCCCCCCCCCCCCCCAAGGTCTCATATTCTTATCTTATATCTTATCCGTATTTTAGAATGGTCAACTCAGATCAATTCTTTAGCCTCTGGCTAACAGCTGTTGGGTGAATGGGGAAGAGCTGTTGGTTCGATGGACTGGGTTTCCTTTAATCCATCCAAATTCCTGGACAATAGCCCCTTCGTAAAGTAAGTAGAGGTATTTGTAAGCCACACAGCATTCCTACTTCTGCCATCTCCAGAGATGCTGCGGCTTCCATTGAGTTCACGAGTCTGCCTGATGCTTCCTGATCCCCACATCCACAAGGCTAAAAGAAGAGGGTGGAAAGTCTAAACAGTGAGATAGCACAAAGCTGCTTATGAGCCAGTACGTTCTGAGCCCATCCTGTGGCAGGACTCCTAGACTGTCCCTAAGACACAGGAGACAGGTCATTGCTTAGACGGCTCTTAAAATAAGCAACTTCTCAATGAAGGTCTTTCTGACCTGGGCCTATAATATATGAACAACCTGATTCCTTTTATAAAAATCAACCGGGACATTCCAGAATGATGTAATAAACCCATTTTCAGCAGTGGTGCACAGCAATCTGGGATCAGGAAGCCAAGGACTAGTCTGTCATAGTCCAGCTTCAGATGTAAATAAAGTCTAAAGAAGTGTGTCCAAGTTGGAAAGCCTTATTTTAACCTTCTATATTTTAACCTTCTAAAGAATATGGCTGGGTGATGGTGGCACATGCCGTTAATCCCAGCACTTGGGAGGCAGAGGCAGGCGGATCTCTGTGAGTTCGAGGCCAGCCTGGTCTACAAGAGCTAGTTCCAGGACAGGAACCAAAAAGCTACGGAGAAACCCTGTCTTGAAAATCAAAAAAAAAAAAAAAAAAAAAAAAAAAAAAAAAAAGAATATGGCCCAGAGATGACCTCAGCTCTTAGATAAACACATTAATACTCAGGGCTTTGAAGACCCACAAAGCTTCTCTTCTCAATTGTTGGTCAAAAATGACCATCAAAACGGGTGAGATGACATGAAAAGAAAGAAAGGCTGTATTTTTCTCATGCATCAAGGAATTGTAACCTTCAACAAGGGCTTTAAATCAAAAAGAAATACAAAAGACCTAATTCATCCACATTCTGAAGGAGAGGCAATGAGGTGACTAAGCCCTAGTAAGACAGGACCACGTAAGGGTCAGATAGTAGCTATAGAAAGGATCCCACTGACTGAAGACAGGATGAGTCCAGGTAATGAGATCATCTCAGAGTCCTCAAGCAAGATCTAGGAAGTATGTGCTGGGTTACAGTTCTCAGTGTCCCACCCAACAGGCACCCTACAATTAAGAACATCTCTGTAGGGGCTTTGGTGAAACTTTGTTCAAGGAAGTTTTTTTTCTCATTTGGTTATTTAAATATTCTGTTACCATTTGACCAGATAAAAATTTTTCACGTGGTGTAAACTGCCCAGAACTGTAGGTTAACTTTTTTTTTCATTTTTTTCCCGTTTATTTATTTATTAAAGATTTCTGTCTCTTCCCTGTTCAAGGAAGTTTGCATTGAAAATAAATGACAGAGTCAGGGTGTTCCTGATAAACAATGAAAATATTGTGTTAAATTAAATGTGTTCTTGTAAATAACGAAAACAACATCTCCTGAGGCAAAGGCCTGGCAGGGTGGCCAGATGCTCTGCTCAGACTTTGGAACTACCCAGACAATGAAGAGAGAAAGTCCGAGTTCACACCATCAGTGGTCCCCAAGATCCAGGAGGTCAGAGAGCATCCCCTCTTCAAAATTCAGTTTCAGCTTACCTCCTCCATGAAATCCCTATAGGTTCCTGTGCTGCACCACAGTGACCTGTTCCAGGATTGCCATCAACACCAGCTCTTTCATCACATGTTTATTATCTTCTAAATCACTGTGTAATTTACTCCTTATAATGTTATTATCAGTTCTCCTACCTAAGAATGCTCACTCCATCAGGAGAGAAGTCTGTCTTATGCATGTATCTTCAGTTTCTAGAATAGAGCACAGTAAGCACCCTACATTCAGAGAGTGTCAGCTATGGCATAAGCTCTCTGCAGACGAACCATCACGTGGACTGCTTGGCTTACAAACTGGCAGTGAGTAGCCCCAGCTCCCTCCCTGAACTCTGTAGAGGCAAGATGTAGCTTAGACCTGCAAGGGATCCACCCTTAAGTGTTTTGACTTTGCTAGGAATGTTGGTCAGGTTTTATTTTTTTGTTTTTTTTTCTTTTTACTTTTACTTTTATTATTCCTTTTCTCTTCTTAACCTCTCACTTTCAGACAAAGCAAATTATAAAACTTGGGAAAGTGACTTTGAGCACCTATAAGGTGCTTGCTTCATCTCCCCAAACAAAGCCTGTGAGCCTTTGTGCTCTGGAGACTTCAAACAAACTGTAAGAAGAAAGACATGTTTATCAGTCCTAGCTCTGTCTTCCCAGAAAGGACAGAATTCTGTTTCAAGGAGACAGCCCTTCCATAGTGAAAAAAAAAATGTATTAAGGGATGCAATCCTGTGTATCAGAGGCTGGGCAGTGCTTAGAAGGGTCACTGGGCACAACAGGGCCCGGATTGTATCAAGACAAGCAGAGTCTCTAAGCACACTATGTGAAGATATACGGTTTTACTTCCAGAGTTTATTTATGCTGAGGGTCCCCTACAGCTTAACTCTGTAGAGTGACTCGTTTCTTAATGCAAAATTGAACATGTCTTATGAAGTTCCTCTTCTCGGGTATAATAGTGATGGTGCTACACCTTGACCTGTGGTTTAATGCCAGACACGTGGAGCACAGTTCATAGAGCCACCAACAAACCCAACCCAACAAAGCGTCAGGCCTTCCACCACCGCTGCATTCCTTCATCCTCCAGAGCAAAGTATCAGTATGTCTAAAGCCAGCACTCTGGCCGTTCTGACTGGGGGTGTGATAAAACAGCATCCTTTTCCCTCTGGAATGAACTTCTCCAGTTGGCTCTCTGTGAAACCCTTCCATGTGTCTCAGATTAGAGGGTGGCACTTCACCCACCCTCTCACCCTGCACTTCACGTGCAGGATCTGACACTCAACAAGGTGCTGATATTCCCAGAGGGAAGAGCCAGAGCTTTGCACTGAGCAGAGAATCACGACAATGCTCCTACAGAGGCATCTCAGAGCATATTAGAGAGCATCCCCACGGCTATGTCACTAGCTGTCCATCCATCAAAGACCATCTTTGAGGTTTTTATCTGCCTTCCTGATGATTCATGTGTTGACTCTTCAGAACACATATTTTCATGGAGACTTTGAGATTTAGCAAGGCACATGGTATCAGAGCAGAAGATACTCAGTGTGCTTCTATGTACCCAGGCTTGACACCAGCACCAACTGCCACAATAACCCATCTTTGGATTTTAAGCGAAGTTAACTTCTGTATTGGGACAGCTGGCCAGACCAGAAGATCTTTGTATCCTGATGACACCCCCAGGGAAATGGATCTTCTTGGCATCTATTTCCCTGGGCAAATGTGGGAAAGTCACCGTGGTGCCAAGGCTACTTCTCATTTGTTTTTTTGTTTTTGTAATCCTAGCACTCCACACAAGCAGGTAAATGACTTCGAGGTTCATTGTGAAGTGAGCGTAAGGGTGTGGGGGTATTGTGGTATGTGAAACAGTAGTCTAAATGTATGAGCCTGGCATAGAAAGCCCATTTTAATCTTTTTAATAAATCCGTAGACTCAGCTTGCTGTGTTTGTTCATTTGTTTGTTTGAGACAGTGTAGACCAGGCTGGCCTCAACCTTGCAACTATCCTCTGTCTCAGCCTCTGGAGTACTCGAATTATAGATGTGAGCCACCAAATCTGACTTCTGTGTTTGCTCATGGTTGGGGAGGGCACAGGAAGAAAAGGAAACAACAGCTTGATTGGTAGCAAGGTAAAGGCACTGTTGTATAATCATCTCACAGGCTGCTGGGGGAAAGACCAAGCTTCCCAGGGCCTTACAAACAAAGCTGCTCGTTAGGCAGGGTTCTACTCAAGAATCACCCTTAGCAGTTCTTGCTGGATCCTCTATATCATCAGTAGAAGTGATTTAAATTGTTGTTGGCCTTGTTAAAAAGGCATGTGGCCTGTCCAGAATTATGGGGTTCTGGTCACTCCTCAGACCACTGCCCCTGTTGGTAGAACATCTCACTTTTCCCTATTGGAAATGGGAGCTAGAGGACCAGAGCTGAGCCAGCTCCTGTGAGATCAGCACATCCAAATCCAAACGGGTTCTAAACAGATGAGGTGCAGCTTTCAAGGCA